TCTTTATTTCTAATGTAATATATGTAATTTTAATTTTTCCAATTTAGTATCATTTGTTTCCAATTATGAATAATGTCAAATTTTCTTTCAAATGTAATATATATAATTTATATTTTCCAATTTTGTATAATATGATTCTAATTTCTGAATTTTGTAAAATTTTCATCTTTCTTTTTAATGTAATTTATGTAAATTTAATTTTTAATTGTTAATTTGCATTATTTATTAATTTAGTTTAAATTTTAAAAAATTATATTATAATAATGCTTAAGTACCCATGAATTGGATCATGAGTGGAAGGCTTTTTTCTTTACCATTTCTAATTGATTTTTTTTAATTAGTTTTATTAAAGTTTAATGAAGCATTTAATGTTAAGTACCCTTAAGATGGATGATGAGTGGAGTTGCTCTAAGTTCTCTGAACAGAACATACAATCCTGCTGCACAGAACAGTTATATGACTATAATTGTAATTGTATGAACCTTGGTAGAATATATATGACTATGTTCTTAAAATTACGTTTATTTAGTGTGGTGTAATTGTATAGAACTATGGTTAATGGAATAATATATATGGGATATGTCTAATCAAAATCTAAGTTGTGAGCAGATTGACAAAAAAAAAAAAAAAATTTAATGGAGGAGAAGGCTGTGAGTGAGCCGATAGAAAAGAAAAGTTGTGATCAGAAAATGACACCCACACCTGAACATACATATCTGGAAACTCTTTTAAGTAGGGGAGGTTATTTGTTCATATCATATAATTAATATATGTATATCATCAATGACAAAATATTACTACAGTTTTAGGTAAGATGCATATGACATAGCTAGCTAGTATTTTACAATTCATTTTTAAAGTTGCATAAAACAAATTGACATCATATGTATATGGATTCTGCGATTGCTTTTATGTTACGTTCATTTTTACGCGTTATAAAATCGTTAACAAGATATTATAGCATCAAAAAAAACGCAAATTTTTATGTTTTAAGTAATGAATATATCTGCTCTTGGTCTTCTTCTTCTTTTTCCGTTAATTATTGCGAATTTGTTTGGCTCTTGCTTTCAACAAATTATGGGGTTGATGATACAAAATAGTTTCTTACTGTACAAAATAGAGGATTGGTTTGGTATGAATTTAATGATACAAAACAAACAAACAAAAATATTATATAGAATATAAGAAGATAGATAAATCACAATCAACGTGAGATGGCCCTCGTAGATTATATTAATAGCTTTACATGCAATTATTGAAATTTCTTATCAACACAACGTAGTTTTAAGCTTATCATTACTTTTAATTAGTTCAGGATGTTTCTAAAGACGATTGGTGTGTTCACGATATTTTATAATACGAAGTCTATGTAAAATGTATTTTAATGTTTACAGATGATGCACTGGCCACTGCATGCGTCGTTTTATGTCTACAAGTAGAAGAAGTGGAATATAAAATTATGATAAAGCAAGTCATGGGCTAGCTTGAAATAAAAGAGATTATGTGATATAATCCAACTGGGGATAATTAAATTAGATAGTATTGTTATTCTTTTGATTAAACAGTTTTTATAAATATAATACATATTTTTCCCTTCTTTTTTTTTTTTTGGGGTCAAAACATATTTTTCTCTTTAAAATGAGAGTTTAACATATCGTTTTCCAAAAGCATTTAATTTACTACCTTACTTCAACTTAAAATCATGTATTGTATTGAAATATATACAAAACTTTTTTATTACTCCTAATGTTCTATAATTCTATCTATATATATATATATATATATATACATTATATGCTTTAGAATATTGACAGTTTCATTGATACGATCAACCATGAATAATATATATATAGCATATGTGAAGAAAGCACAGTTCGTTTACACAACTATTTTCTTTTCTTTATATAAATTCATATCCTTTACAAGAAATACAATCTCAAAATATCATTGAGAGAACTATATGCATCTATACAATCTCTATATATATAAACATCTAAATACATAATATTTATACGTTTTATATAATAAATTTTAAAAAACAGTAATCGTGTTTTTTTTTTTTTTGGGTTTAAAAATCCTATGTTTCTTCTATACGTTCTCATCCTCTTTAAATAAATCTCCTTTCCTCTAACCCCCTATACCAATTTAATTAAACCCAAAAACATATACGCAAATCTCAAATAATTATATATATAAATAGAAATAAAGCCCACCAATCGGAACAATTCTTCACAACGGCGGCTAAGAAGGGTACCAGTTTAAACCGGGTAATTGGTACGGCGTCGTTCTGAATAATCCATCTCCTAACACACCACCACCACCACCTTGTTGTTGCATCAATATTGGTGGAGTCTCTTCCATCATCGTAGAAGACATGTTCGAACAATCTCCTCCTCCGCCACCACCGTGAAACCGCTTGCTGGGAGATGCGTCCTGCTCCTCCTCGGCTACAGGCCAATACGGCACAGGAAGAGCTCGTTTCAGACTAGCCATCATCATCGGCCCTGAAGACGAAGCATGGTTCAAACCAACGACCTCGGAGTTATTGTCGTGATCCACTGAGTCGGTACCCATGTTGTTGATCATGCCACCTCCATCGTATAAACTTGTGTTACCGTCGGAGAAAATACCATAACCACCACCGGAGAATTTCCCAGGGAAAAAATTCATCGATCTTGAGACATTGTGGTGGTGATGGTGGAGTCCTGTAGCAGTAGCGGCCATTGATAACGACGGAGGAATCTTCCTGAAAATGTAATCAATCATATCGTGATCCTTATCGTTATCCACATGTCGACCTGCGTTGTTCTTCTTGTAGATTCGACATAACACCCAATCATCAAGCTTATATCACAAGAGAGAAAAAAAAATCAAGATCAAGAAAACTCAAGATCAAGAACATAGAAGAGAAAAGTAAAGTAATATATACTCTGAGTGAGTTTTTCTTGTTGCCGAAATCACAACCAGGTGGTCGATTGTTAAGTTTGTTTTCGATGAGACGATACTCATGCATGATCCAATCACTTTTAATGCCTTTTGGTGGTTTACCACTGTAGAAGACGAGTGCCTTCTTCACACCAACCTTTTGGTTACCGTCGGAAGCAAGAACCGGTTTATCTGTACCGGTAGCTTTCCAGTATCCTGACGTCGCTGCTCTGTTCGGTCTTGCTCCGTTTGGATACTTCCGATCTCGAGGACTGAAGAAGTACCATTCTTGTTCTCCAAACGACGCTTTAGCTACAACCAAAAAAAAAAAAAATAGAAAATTACACAAACAATTTTTGTTTTGTTTTAAACAGTTAGATCATACGTCATCGCATACAGAGATGATCTTTGGAAAAAAAAAACTTTAAAGAACTCAAAAATTCCAATAAAAGAATGATGAAAAAAAAAAAGAGAGTCGATGATGATGATGATGAGGGTGGTGTACGTACCAGGAAGCTCCCATGGATCGAACTTATAGAGATCGACCTCGGCGATGATGGCGACAGGTAAAGGAGCAGAGGCGGCTTTGCGTTTGAGGTAGTGAACCACAAGCTCTTCGTCGGTTGGATGAAACCGGAACCCTGGAGGAAGGTTAGGCTGCGGCGGTGGAGGACCACCGGATGAATCGGTGCTCTCCATTGTATTGTATCCGTTTTGGAAAATTAAAAAATCTAGCACCGTGATCGGATGTTGTATGAGAAGAAGCTCATATTACTCTACTACTCTCTCAGATTTTTCTCTAATTCTTCTTCTTTTATTTTAATCTGAGGTTGCTTTGAGATTCTTCTTTTTTTTTTTTTGTTGGTATTGGTTAAGGGGAAGGAGTGCTGAAAAATGCTTCACAGAGTCGGCGTTATCATACTTTTAAATGGGCTTTGTATAAAACGCCAATTTTGTTTGGGTTTTAATCCTCTGTTCTTTCTTACATATTTATATACACCCCCTGGCTATTTAACCTACGTACTAATTATGCAAAACCATATGTTTTTTTTTTCTCAAATAATAATAATATCAAAAAGTTTTTGATTAAAAATTTTGAAAAAAATAATAACTATAAAATAAATTTTTATTTCGGAAAATACTATATGTATACTCTCAAGTGGGTTAATATGTGATCAGTCTTTTTTCCATGTTTTTTTCCCCCAATTAGAAATTATATTTGCCTAACATGCTATTTTCAATATGACACGATTTGTCTAAACATAATACGTAATTTAATTATATATTTTTTCGCTTCTGTAAAACTAGCTAAAGTTATACGTAGTAACCAAAGAACTTTGTCTTTGAAAAACAAATTGCAGAAAAATAGTCAAAACATTACCATACCTTTAGTTTAGTTATATAAGTAGATAACTTAGAATCATATATATATGATGCTACTCAGTAATCAGCTATAAGTAACAATAAAAAAAAAAGTAATTAAAAAAAAAAAAGTTGTCCAAAATTTAAGCCGAGTTTAGTGTGCTTTGGTTGCACATAAAAGGATTTTAATGTGGCGACAACGCGACACATATACAAAGCCTGAGTAATCATGTCGAGTTTTGTGTAATTACAAAGTTAGCCAAATTGCATGAGGGGGTTGATTAGTTATTTACGACTACATTGTTTTGTGTTTTTGTGTTTTCCCTTGCGACACAGAACGAACTAGGACAAAACAAAGAGAGGAGGATCGAATTCAACGTCGATATCGATCTTAGCATAAGATCAAAATATGTATAATTTATTAAAACCGTAAGATTTATATTTATATCGCTTTCATAACACGTAAAAAACAAATACTCGATACATATACATATATATTAACTATATTATACATATAATTAAGACGAAGATCAACTACTGTATTCCAAATATAACAATCTTGTATATGCTTATTAAGGAGTCGACACGTGTGATTCTTAGTGGACAATGTATTCACACGTGGCAATCGAAGAGATGGGGCCCATGTAGTCGCCACGGAAGGTAACAGATTGATGACGTGGAAATGGATGTATGGGTCTCATCTCTCATGGGTGTGTTGAACCAAAGAAATATATTATATAAAAAAATAAAAAACTTTTTACGTTTCAGATGTCATATGTCACGCTTTTGTTATTTGAGATAATCGCACCACCACATTATTTCTTTCATTTTTTTTATAGATTTTAAGATTAGAAATATATATATATATATATATATATATTATTTTATCTTAAGATTAGAAATATTATGGAATGGAAACAAAACAAATCGACCCATTTCATGTGATTGTTTTTCTTCTCAAAGTTTCGGTTACTTTTTTATTATTATTATTATTTTTTTTTTTTACGTTTTTATTATTTATTTATATACGTCATTAAGATATGATTATAACCATGCATGTTGTCTCGACCACTACTAAGTTATTATTATTAATTTATATATGATGTTATGTTATGAGATTCCTAGTCCTAGGAGTGGTTTCTTTTGATGACTTTTTGAGTTTTTGACTTCCGACCATGATATGATATTCTCTTATCTATCTTTTTAAACAAATGTGTGTTCATATATTCAAATACAATTGTATTCCCAAGTTTTGTCTTTACAGAGCACTTCATTTTTTGTTTTCAATAGTAAAAGAAAAAAAAAGAAAAGAAATGTGGACCATATTTAACACACGTTGTACCTACTCAAAAAAAAAAAATTTAAATGTTTTTGCCCTCTAATTAGTCAATTACATCATTTTTAGTCACATCCATCAGATCAGATCATCTTCAAAGAGACATCCTTCTATTTGCATTGTCTCAGGAAAAAAAAAGAAAAAGAAGAAGAAGATTTCTAGTGCTTTACATGTTTGCACACCACTTCTTTTCCTAACGTTCAAAGAACCTCAACTATAACAAAACTTAATTGTTTTCATATATATATATATAATATTTACATAGTTTTCCTTACTAAAAATATATACTTGAAACTAATTTGGAAGGGGACCATATTTGTAAGTGTTATATATATTACATAGTCAACAGAACAGAACGTGGTCGCTGGGATACTGGGCTTATCCCGTATGTGTGTATGTCAGTGTTATGGTTTACTTTGAAAATATCAACGTATAACTAACTATCTTTGATTGATAAACTTACCAGATCGTACATAACGATGTTATCCTGCAACACTTCCCAACTTGAATATATATATATGTAATATCCATGGACTAATTAATTTTAACATGTTTAAAGTATTTTATTTTCTGTTTTCTGTTACCAGTAGTTTCTACTTATATATATACTAGTTTAGTATCCGTCCGATAGACGGGTTATCTTTATTTAAAATTAAAGTAAAAATAAAATTTATTATAGCTTATAAAAATCAATTTCCAAATTTTTTTAAAAAAAAATATGAAAAATTAATTTTATTTGAAAAGATAATTTATTTGGTTTGAGGTATCAAATAAACGTGTATATATATATTATATATATACATATATATCTCTTAAAATTCGTTATTAAACGATAATTATAGAAATCTAGTAATGTCAAATTGAAAATCACCAAAACATTTGGGAGCTATTTGGGAGCTATTCACCATTACTAATAATATTGCTAAAATATTTTTAAAAATCTTAATTTAGCAATTATCCTCTAAAACATGATTATACCATTTTGTAAAAAAATTTATTTCTTAACTTTCAATTTTTTTAAAAATCATTCTCAGACTATGAAAATTAATAAATTATTATTAATATGATGGTAAAGTTCTTTCAAATTAACATCAATCTAAATATGATGTTAAATATAAATATAGTCATTTGTAAATAAATTCATATAAACAACGCAAATAAAAATAAAGATTCTAGAATAAATTATAGCATCATTGAGGAAAACATTAAAAATCTTTCAAATACGAATTATAAAAAATTACAAATTTTCTTTACAAATATTTTAAAATTACTATATGACTATTTATATTGAACTTTGTTATTTTTAATTTAAGCTAAAAATATTATTTTCGAAAATCTTTTATTCACCCTTATGTTTTAGACACTGAAATTGCTCAGTGGCATAATACATTCATACATAAATTAAAAATTAGACAAATATAACATATTATAAAACAAAAATCATGAATAAAATTATATATTTAGTTAAACTCAAAATCTAATTTATTTGTAAACTGTAAATCCTAATTCTCCTTTATGAACCCAGACTGATAAATAACCTTGTTTAATTGTAAAACCTAAATCTCACTACTCTTTAATAAACCCAGACCGATATATAATATCGTTTAATAATAAAATCTAAACTATAATGCAGATTTATAAACTCAACATATAACCCTTATAATTGTAAAACCTACAACTGGCAAAACCAAAAATTAGGTTAATAGTTGAAGAGAATTTTTGAGAAATACCCCTTTTGGTGTACTCCTTTTTAAAAATACACCAATTTCTATCTATTTTAAAAATATCCATTTTCAAATATGAAAAATTGTAAACTTTTATATAGTTTATAAGTTACATCTAGATCATCATTACTATTGGGAGACTCAATACAAATATTTTTAAAGTTTTAAAAAGGTTCTAAACGGCATTTATAAGACTTTTATTAGGTTTTTATAAGGTTTAAAAAGTTTTTACATGTTTTTTAAATAATTTTAAAACGTTTTTAAAAGGTATTTATATGGTATTTAAATTTACACACATAGAAAGATAATTTGTGTCTAAATATATAAGCTTACACATTTTTTTTTATAAATATCAATTTTTTTACTTTTTAATTATCAAAAATACCCTTTTTCCATACCACTTTTTAAAAATACCCCTATTTCAAACTTTATAAAAAAACCACTTTAAATGTTGAAATTTATCCAAATATGTGTGAAAACTTATAAATATACACACAAATTACCTTTATATATGTTTAAATTTTTATATATCTTTCATAAATAGCGTAAAATAACTTATAAATACCTTTTAAAAACCTTATAAACCCTTTTAAAAACCACTTAAAAATCTTATAAAACTTGTTAATATGATTTAAAACCTTTTAAAACATTATAAAATAATTGTATCAAATTTCCAAGTAGTAGTTATTATATAGAAGTACCTTATAAACCATATAAAACTTTATAATTTTTCATATTTAAACATGGATATTTTTGAAAATGAATAGATAAAGGAGGTATTTTTGAAAAGGGGTACACCAAAAGGGGTATTTCTTAAAAATTCTCTTTATTTTTTTATATATTTTTTTAATGTTTTTGTTTAAAAATTCTATTTGTATCTTAATATTAACAAAAGTAGATATAACGTATTGCGACATCTTATGTTTTACTTGACACTTATCATGATCACGTGAGTTAGTAAATTTAAAAACCAAGTTTTGACATATAATCTCGTTTAATTGTTAAACTTAAACCATAATTTTAATTTATAAAGATAAACCATAATTCTTATTTATCATTTATATACCCAAACCAACAAATAACCTGATTTAATTGTAAAATTAAAGTTTAAACCTTAATCCTCTTCTGTAAACAAAAACCGCCATATATTCTTGTTAATTATAAATTTTAAATCCCTATCTTATTAATAAAGCAAATTGACATAACTGAAATTAGATTATTTGTTTAATTTTATTAATAACTTTTTAATATATAATTCTGTATAATATTTATTTTATATATTTCCTTCTTCGATAGGGTTAATAATATTTCTATTTTATCCAAATATTAACAAAATTAGTTATGCCACGTGTCAACATCTTATCGTTTATAATTGACACGTGTCACGATTTTGTTAATAGCTGACTTTGAAAACCAAGGTTTATATAATAAGATATATAGTTTCGTTATACCTTTTTAATTCCACATATGTTGTG